AACTGTTTTCTAGTGAAGCTCACAGAAACAGATGAAGAAGACTTTTTTTTTGCCTTTGAATAACTTATCCTTAAAAATGTTATCTCTAGACACATAGCCCATACTTACTTCAGAGTGATGTGAAAATGGGAGGAGTGAACTCTAATAATAGCAGCTCTGAGCAGCTAACATTAGAGCAATAGAAAACTATAACAAAAATAGTTTTCTTGTGAGAAACTCCATAAATTAACAGGAAGAAACTTCTGTTTCTCTATAAAGACTGGTGAACATACTAGCAAGAATTGGGACTGTTTTAACCATCAAAGTTCCAGAGTTTTTGTCTCTGTTGTCATGTGAACAAGGGAATAGTGGGTAGATAGGGGATGGAAAGGTTTTTCTGGAAGTTTATTCTGGTGTTCTTATTATTGTGGTTTGTCAATAAACTTTCTTTTTTTTTTCCCCTTTTAAGTTGTATGCCTGTTTTGCTCTTATTCTAATCCATATCTCACAGCAAGAAGTAAGTAATTTTCTTAGTTAGTAGTTTAAAACCACGACACTGTGATCAAGAAATACCAGTGGAACTAAAAGGAGAACTGGAAAAGTTCCTGAATAATAATAATAATAGGTGCCAAAGAAGATGAAGAGTCAATCCATAGGACAGGAAAGAAACCCTGGTGCTCAAAGTTGGGCCACCACCTCTATCATGTAGGATTTGCTGGGAGCACCCTTCCCAGGAAGGCATTTCCCACAGATCTCAGCAGAAGCCAAGTACCATTGAGAGGCCACCAACTCCATTCTAATGAAATACTGCATAGGACATATGAGGTTACCAAACTGGTCTCCTCAGATATTTGTCCCAAGGTATTTTAAGGGCAACAACAAACTATTTCACCCAGTTGAGAGTTTCACCCGGTGAAGTTACTCCATGAAACAGTTAAACAATGCAAGGAAAAGCGAGAGGATGAAATAAGGCGTAAGAAGCAACAGCATTACAGAGTTTATTATTGCTAGCTATTCTAGCAAAACAACACCCAAAATGCCCCAAAAGTTTAGAAGGTGTCTTTTCTTTCCTCACGCGGGCTTGCAGGTGGGGAGAAACTGGGTAAAGTTTCTAATTGAAACCCTAAAATAAGACAGCTAAGACTCAGCATTCCCAGCACCAACTCCATGATCTCACCTCCTGAAGGATCTTTTCAAGGGATCCTTTGTCCTTTCCCACAACTCCCTCTCTCTGTAAGTGGGCAAGTAGCTCTGGCTTTTTGTAACTCTTCAAAGCCAGCAAATGAATCACTCTGTCTCTGATGGGTCGTTGGGAAACAGTACTGAAAAGTCTCCCAAAGAACTTTGCAGGGTTCGTGGGCATTGTTCTCTTCCTCTCAGGCACAAAATCTGGAGTGCTGTGTGGGGCTCTCCTGAGCTCTGGTATTTTAACTGGAGTAAAAGAAAAACAGAAAAAGAATTGTGAAATGAGGGCATGGGAGAAGGCAAGGAAAGGATGTACTAAGGCTGTTGAACCTCTATTTGTTCAGCATGTACTGATGAATCAAGATGATTACAAGAATCCAGATAATAAAAGCATGAAAAAGAAACAGTCCTTAAAAGCTGGTAAAGGAAGGATACTGAAGGGCAGGTTCTTATGAAAAATTCTTTATGTGCATAGTGTTTTTGTATGATTTCCCCAGTTTGTAAGCTCAAGCACTGAGCTATGTCAAGAATGACATGGACAGAGGCATTAAGCGCACCCTCGGCAAGCTTGCCAACACCAGAGGCATGGGATGCCATCCAGAGCGACCAGGACAAGCTTGGGAACTGGGGTGGCCCTGGGACCTCATGCAACAAGGCCAAGTGAAAAGTGCCGCATCTTTGGGGCTGGGACATGCCCTGGCACCAGGGCAGGCTCGGGGATGAAGGTGGGGAGGATTTGGGGGTGCTGGTGGATGACACGCTGGGCATGAGCTGGCAGTGTGTGCTGGCAGCCCAGAAAGGCAACTGTGTCCTGGGCTGCAGCAGGCAAAGTGTGGCCAGCAGGTTGAGGGAGGGGATATGACACAGCAGGCACTGTTTTGAAACCAGGAACTCGTGCTTGGTAGCTGATGGAGACTTCATGAGTATTGGTAATTGGAAATCCCGGAGCTTTGTCTCTTCCATCAGACACACAGACACTGACCTTTCTTTACACGTTCCTTCAATCTTTCAATGTAGGTCCAATTTTTAATGCCTTTCTCCTCTTCCTGTTCCTTGGACCAGGCCTCTCTAATATTCGCCTGCAAACCTAACCACACAAACATCACAGTTAAATTATTTACAACCCTGTAAACTTGCCTGTTGTTGAGTGAAGGCACTACTAATGTTTTGAGAAGTTCAATCCAACGTAGATACAGAAACTTCCCACAGCATTCAAGGAAAACACCTCCTAAAACCATAGCCCTGAATGACTTCTAAAAAAAATTACCTGAAACCATAGCCAAGCATTAGGTAAGAGTTCTTCACCCAGAGGGTGCTCAGGTACTAGGACAGGCTCCCCACAAGACTGTTCATGGCACCAAGTCCACCAGAGCTCAGGAAGCATTTGGACAAGGTCCACAGGCACATGGTGGGATACTTGGGGACAGAGCTGGACTTGAATATCCATGTGGATCCCTTCCAACTCAGCATATTCTCTGATTCTGTGACAAATCCCAGTCCCTAACTGATACTGCATGGAGCATGCTGCAAAGGCACCCAGCAACCAGACCTGTCTCACGTGAGTTTCTCAGTGCCAGCCCAAATCAAAAGCGGCCCCAAGTTCCACAACTGTCTCACTACTGCCAAATATTAATATTAGTAGCTAAATATTAAATATTCCCTTAGGATCTATGGAAACCACCACCAAGAATCACACAAACCATCATTCTCATGTGAAACAGAATGTCGCCAATGAGAAATTCTGAAGTTTAATTTTTGTCTCTCCAAAAAGCTGTGATGATGCTGCCATAAAATGCTCTACCCTAAGCTAAGGCAGGGCAAGAGCCACCCTTTCAGTGGCAGGGATGTCCCTGCAGGCAGGTGACTGCAGCCAACGCCAGGTGAGAGCTCGTGTTTCTCAGGACACCTGGCTCAGCTCACTGCTGCAGGCAGCACCACTGCGTGCCTGGAATGGCAATGTCCACCTTGTGTCTGCCTGGAGCCAGGCTCCCTGGGGAAACAGCACTCACAACAGATTAAGAACAAATGACACCACCTAAGCACGTTGTGATTTGTGGGAAATTACAAAACTCATGGGGAAGACGACATCATTACTTTCCTTTCACTTGCCTTGAAAAGAACCCAACACGGTCTTGTGGCAACAGACACTTAATAATGACCAAGACAAAAAATTAAATCAAGCAAAGTTTTGCATATTGGCCTGATGAAATTCTCTATGCAACTTCCTCAAAGTCATTTTCTTTCAATTCCCAGTCAAGGTGGATGGTTTAGCACAGTGCCTAGGTACTCCAAAACCAAAACATTAGCCACCGAGGCAGTGAATTTAAGTGCGTGCAGTGGTCCAAACCTTGACTTCAATGCTCAAAATTCCAACCAGTCAAGCAGTGTCGCCCTGAAAACTAAAGCCTTCTGATAATGTTTTCATAGTTCCAGTTACTTTCCCATGAAAGTCCTATAAACATAAGTTGTTTATCACATTCCTTCTAAGAAACGTCTTTTGATGGATGTTTCACATGGCCGGTGTGCTTGGGAAGGTAGTAACTTAATTATCCAATCCCTGGTCATTGTCGAGAATCTATAAATGCTAGAGTCAGAAAATAAAGGTTAGTTCTTTCCTGTTCTAACACTGAAAAGTGTTTGTGTCAATCATTTCTGTGTCCTTTAGCGACAAAGCAGTATGGGAAGAAGGGAGAACTGGCAGGCTTTCTCAGGGGAAAAATGGCTGAATGCAGTGACAAGAGATTGCAAGGTTGACCTGAGGACAAACCACCTACAGCTGAGATCTCTGAACACACCCCAGTCCCACAAATATGCTGCAGAAATGAATTACCAAGTTTCAAATCTTGCAGACATTAAGCAAAATATGAAAAGCAACCATACCTCCAAGTGGGTTATACAATTTGACAACCTGTGCACTTGCACTGTGTGACGCCTCGCTGGCATTTGGCTAAAAGGAAAAAGAAATTTTTTGTGAAAACTTCAGCCTACACTCCATTACTGCTGATTAACCAGGCCCTTAATTTTAAACAGGAGCTGTATTTGAAAAGGTTTGCTCTCACATCACTACAAAGGGCTGCTTTGACACAATTCTCCCTCTGAAAGCAGCCAGCTACAACACTGCCCTGAGAGAGCGACCGTCACTTAGTCTCGAATGTAGACAAGCGTTCCAGTAGTAAGCCATCCTTTCCCAATTGCTGGAATTTACAGCCACAGGCTTCCCTTGAAATCAAGTGCCTGAGTGCAACTGAACTGGCCAGCACTCAGCTAGCAAACCTGGCAAGAGTGGTTCACAAAAAGATCGCAGAGTTGGGGCAGAACCTGACACTGGGATTTATTTGGTACTAATGAAGAGCATCCTGGAGTCAGCTCCAAGAACAACTTCAACTGCAAAATATGAATTTTGGTTGGTAACAGTCATCAAAACCTTTCCCTTTTCCTCAGCGCCCCATGCAATTATTTGTATGATGGGAAAGGAAACAGTTTATCCTAGGTTAGTCAGATGTAGCAATATTTGGTAACTCATCACTTGGTACAGAATGTGCTTGTGGTGGGTTTAGAGCATTAGCTAAAAAAATCACTAGAAAACTCACTCATTTCTTGCTGTGAGATATGGATTAGAAGAAGAGCAAAACAGGCTTAAAACTTAAAAGGAATAAAGAAAGTTTATTAACAAAACTACAAGAATAAGAAACCAGAATAAAGCCTCCAGAAACCCTTTTGTTCTCCACTACTCAACCTTGTTCTCCTTGTTCACATGACAACATAAAGACAAAAAAAGAAACCAAAAACCTGGTGGTTAAAACAGTCCCAACTTTGCTATAGTCTTTTCATCAGTCTTTGTAGAGAAAAAGAAGTTCTCTTCTGCCTAATTATGGAGTTTTTCACAAGAAAACCATTTTCTCATGGCTTTCTATTTCTCTGATGCCAGCTGCCCAGAAACCCTGCCATCACTCCTTTCCTCCCATTTCACACCACTCTGAGGTGTGCTCTTGGGTCATGATTCAAGGGGTGTCATTTTAAGGATGAGTTCTTCAAAGGCAAAAGTGCTCTTCATCTGTCTCTGTGATCATCTCTGGAAACAGAAGTTTTCTCTTTGCCTCTTAAGGGCCGCAAATCTTCAACAGCTATCACTTCTCTTTCTCTGTTCCAGCATCTCATAGGATACACAAATACAAATCATACTTCACCATTTGCTCAGATCTACACTTTGAAATACTCCATTCTCCCCCAAAATACTCTATCATGAATTAAAGGAGGTTTTTTTTCAGAACACTATTGTCCATCTCCATAGTTTAAGCAAAAGA